TTCTGCATGAGACGATGTTGCGAACACAAAAAATCAAACAGAAATGAGAGTAGAAAGCGTGCAATCTTCTATCAGTTTACGGCACCTACAAACAGCATAAAGCAATCATGTCCGCCGAGGTCTGGAGCTCAGCAAGCAGCAAAGCTGGGTCGTCAGTTGCTATCACTTGACTACGACATAATATCAATAAAAAGATCAAGATTAGCTCCTAATTCTCATTGTGAAAACTCGTGTGAAGAGCCTTAGTTTACCGAGAAATGCACGCCACCAGGGCGTTGCACTCTCTAGTTATAACCCTACTTACTAAATCCCATGATCCCTTAAGTACCCAAGGCCGCCCCTGCGAGGCCCACTCCAAGGATGATGGGTACCGGTAAGTGGGCAGTTCTCTCAAGCAGGGTCTCTTTGTAAGGTCCTGTCTATAAGGATACCGTACTAGTTTGGGACTTAAAAGGGGCCCTAATTTAGAGACTGCCCGAATACCAGCATAGATGTGCCAAAAAACCCAACTCAGCTGAACCTGTGTGCCCCAACTGATATACTATGCATGTCTTTTCAAGCACCCTCGTTTCGTCAAAACACCTGAGTTTGGAAGCCTCTGGTCTTTGGTGCTGTTGGTCTAACCCTTTTCATTATAGTTCTTGTCTTGCCTGAAATCGCGAGATGTGCACACGGAACGCTACTTATATTGCCACTAGGGTCATTTCAAGGCGTGTCTCGACTTCAACTTACAAGCGCATGTGTTTGTGCACGGACAGATATGCATGTATGTGCACATACGGACTTCTCCAGTCATGTTGAAGCTCTCTACCTGCGAAAAAAACATACAGTCCATCGACTTATGTATTACACGGTTCGGGTGTATGTCACGGTAAAGAACGTACGTTATGTATGTCTCGATGATCGTGTTTGCTCCTTTTACTCCTGCAAAGTATGTTTCAATGCTAACTGCTCGTTTGCTTTGGTGTTTATGACCATTGCTGTCGGTGTCCACTATTGTTCTTAGGCGATGTCACTGTCAGTCTTACACTGTTAGCTCCATAGTTCCTGGCAATCTCTATATGCCGCAAGTTGTGCCGATTCGGTTTCCGGTTGTCGCGATGCCTGCTACTGTTCAACTGTGTAAGTCTCACACTCGCCGTGTGGCAGCTACTGCCTTTGTAGCAGTCGTCGTGGTGCGGGCAGTGGTACTGCGAGGGAGGGAGGGAGTGAGGAGGGAGGGGGGAGGGAGAGAGAGAGAGAAGGAGAAAGAGAATAGAGGGAGAACGAGAGACAGAGGGACAGAGAGAGCGAGAGAGAGAGAGAGAGCAGGGCGAGCGAGAGGAAGAGAGAGGGAGAGAGAGCCAGAGCTTCAGAGATAGGTAAGTTTAAGCATATCCTTGTAGATCTGCTTACGCACGCGCTTGCTTGTATCTCCATGAAATGTATACTTCCACATGCGAGAATCATCACATGCTGCCGCCGGGCTGCTGCTATTCTACGTGAAGATGCCGGCATCTCCACACGGACATGTACATATATACAAGTGCAGAACAAGTAAACATACACACGCATGTTCGGCGTGCATATGTGTATGTGTGTGTCTCTGCCTCGACATCAGCTTCCTGAAGCTGCATTGCCATCTCGAAGGCGAGAGATGCACCAGTCACGTGGCCAACCAGCACTACCTGGCATAGAACTATGGCATTGCCACTACTAGTCTTGTTACTACTAAGTAGTGGTGGTTGCATTAGTAGTAGGAGTAGTAGTAGTAGTAGTAATAGTAGTAGTAGTAGAAGAAATAGTAGTAGCAGTAGTAGTAGTAGTAGTAGTAGTAGTAGTAGTCGTAGTCGTCGTAGTAGTAGTAGTAGTAGTAGTAGTAGTAGCAGTAGCAGTAGTAGCAGTAGTAGTAGGAGCAGGAATAGCAGTGGCAGTGGCAGTAGCAGTAGGGTTGGGTTGTGGTACTGGAGGGGGCTGGGAGCGTAGGGTTTGTGCCCGCCTTCCTTCCAAGATCTCTGGGCCGAAGTTCCTCGGAATCCTCCTCCTCAGAGTCGTGCAGGCCATTGGGCACCTTGGCTCGTTGCCGCAACTGTTATTTTGGTCTTGCCATGCTATGTTTGCCCGTCTTCCTTGTGAGTGTCATGCCGCTGTTAGGAGTTCATGCTACTATGATTCGGATTGTTGCTGCTCCAGCTGTAAATCCTTTAGCCGAAGCCTGAGACCTAACTCGCCAACCCATACAGCTTGAGACCCCAAACCCCTGAAGCACCAGAACCCTCAACCTCTAACTGCCCGAAAACATTATAATAAACTGCCTGTCAATGCGTGTAAACAAGAGCCGTCTAAAAAACACACCCTAAACCCTACAGTAAACCCCACAAAGTTGGAAACCGGATTGCTGGGATTCCCTATACATTACTCGTAAGGAGTGAGGCTATTGGATTTCCAACTTTTGGGCTTCTACTATAAACCAAAAACCCTGCGACATTCAACTGACCTCGGCTGCGCACCGTCGCTTCGTCAGTGACCGCGAGTTGCTCGTTGGTGGGCTGGCTCTGGCTCTGATCCTTCAGGATAGATAAATAGATAGATAGACAGATAGAGAGATAGATAGACAGATGGACAGACAGACAGACAGACCGACGGAGGGATGGATGGAGGGATGGATGGATGGATTAGATAGATTAGATAGGTTAGATAGATTAGACAGAACAGATAGATAGGACAGATAGATAGACTAGATAGATTAAATCGAGTAGATAGAGTAGTCAGATAGATAAATAGATAGATAGGTAGATAGGGTCGGTCAGATAGACAGAAGATGGATGGACGGATGTAGATTTAGATACAGATATTGATTGGAATATAGATCTAGCTGTAGATATGGATGGACACACCCCCCGCATGAGGTAGGTCTTCGAGGGGGGTTGTGAGTTGTGAGCATATAGATATAGGCTAGGATACTGATATTTAAGCTTAGATATAGATAGAAATACAGATGCAGGTGTAGATGTAGAAATCATACAGACCTAGTACAGAAATGGTTCCAGATCTAGATCTAGATCTAGATCGATATAGATACAAAATCCAATACAAGTGTAGATGTAGATACAGACACAGGTGTGGGTATAGATATAGCTACAGGTGAGTAGATAAAGACAGACAGATGTAACCACATTATGCATATACACATGCAAACAAACATGCTTACATGCAGGCAGGCATGCAGGCATATATTCATGTCGTTCTATGCGATGGTTTATGTGCAGAGCCGAGATACCTAGACGGTGTGTGTAGGTATTTAGGGTTTTTGAGTTTATGGTATCAAAGTTTTGGTTTCAGAGTTTAAGGATTTGTTTAGGGTTTTGGGTTAAGGGTTTAAGGTTCTAGGATATAGGGGATGTTGGGGTGTAGGGCTGTACAACACAATACTGGCAATACGGATCGGTATTGTCGCGCTGGCCTGCAGAACCCGCCGCGCGAAGAGGGTCGCAACGTCGGATAAAGATGTCCGCCGCATGGCCTCCCAGTCCATCACGATGTGGCTAGTTCCCTAAATTAGGGTCCCTTTAGGGTCCTTTTTTATAAGGGTGCCGTACTATATTTGGGACCCAAAAAGCGACGCTAATTTAGAGAACTACCCCTGTGCTACCGCTTAGATCACATGTGTAGACTCTCGCATGCTGTTGCACAAGATGTGGCTGTCAGTCTCTCCGCCGAATCAGAATGCATCGATCAAGCACTAGGCAGGCCTCCTCGTCAAACTCAAGCTGGCATGTGTTGCAGTTTGTGAAACCCTGGGCCAGGGTTGCCAAATGGCCAAACTCGCCACCATCGCATCCTGTCAAGCAATCACAGAACGTCAGTACATACCCACGAGCACAAACAAGCTGACGCTCAACCGACAAGACAAAGACAAAAAACTGTTGCTAAGTGGAGTTTCGGGTTTAAGTATTATGATCATCGTTGTGGCTGCTTGTCATTGCTAGGGCAGCCTTCCGAAATCTCAAGAAACACCGATGCCACACCATACACCCTCCAGAAACTCTTCACTGGAGTACTTTAGACCATAAGTCCAAATCGGAACTCCTATCCCGAACTAACATGTGGGTAGTTCTCTAAATCAAGGTCCCTTTTCGGGTCCTCTTTATAAGGGTGCCGTACTATGTTGGGGGGCTTAAAACAGGGGACCCGGATTTAGAGAACTACCCATATAGGACCTTTACAGAAACCCTATAGAGACCCCTCCCTAAACCCCAAACCCCAAACCCTAAACCCTAAATCCCAAACCCTAAACCCTAAAACCTGAACCTTTAAGGAACAGAGGGCAGCTCCTGGGATGAGATACACGCAGGGGACGTCCGGGAGCGCCAGTGTAGACGCAGTCTCCGGCTCGGCCACCCTGCGGGGCGGGAGGTGGAAAAAGGGGCCGTCATAATTTAGCGTTTAGGGTTTAGGGTTTAGGATAGGGACCTTATTTTGGGGCCTTATAATAAGTAGAATAGAGTTTTGGGATTTCTTACACTGCATAATCACAATAAAGAGCCCCCAAAACCCCATCCTAAATAGAAAAGGCCCCTACATTAACCCTGAATCCTAGACCCTAAACCTTATAAGCACAACTACGATAATTAGGATAAGGACCTAACCTTAAACCCTACGAGCGTTACGGGTTCTAGCAACACGGTGTTTCTATGAAGGGTTCCAACAACACGGTGTGTCTATGAAGGTTTAACATAGGGATTTCTGGGATTAGAAAAGGGTTTGGGGGGTTGTATCGTAGTATGCTGATATGAATACTATCGATAATACCGATACTACTTACTATTCAGTGCTTCGGTCTGATGTTACCAACCATTATGCCTCGAGAAAGCCCCAGTGCCTTCTCAACGGAGGAAATTGAGAAGGGTTTAGGGTTTTGGGTTTAGGAACATCTCTGACAATGCAGCAGCCATCCGAGATAGCTACGAAGCTTGTGCTCTCAATTCCCTCTCGCGTCAGAGCATGTCAGGTGCAGAGAACATCTACTAGCAGTTGCAGTTCTCAAGTCTCATTCCAGCAACAGCTGTTCAACGGGACGACAATAGATAATCTAGCAGAGAGCCATGATTACGATGACAACGAGAAAACTGCAACAAGTATCCTGCTACCCCTTGATGGAGGAGTATACACTGTAGTAGCCCTGCCAGCACCCACTGCAAGAACCATTGTGGAAATTTTTAAACCCTAAACCCTAAACCCTAGGGGAAACCCTATACCCTAAACCCTAA